TGGACGATTAGTCAGCCACGAGAGTGCATCGCGTGAAACACGTGGGACATTGTACGTCCTTGGTGTCGTTCCCCTTTCTTCTTTTTCTTCTTCATCTTTCGATGTCTCTCTCTCTCTCTCTCTCTCTCTCTCGCTCTCTTAATCGAACGGACAAACGAAAGAAGAAACAAACGCAGTGTGAGTGGACAGCTTTTCGCAACTACGATATATAGTGCTCGTACACGTGACATAATAAAAGTAAACCTAACCGAGTACAGTTTCACTGCACGGTAGTCGCAATTACATCTATTAATAGATCACGAGAAGACGTGTACACGAAGCTTTCATCTCAATAGCACGTTACTTTACGGTGACAACAATAAAACTCGGTGTTCGAGTTGGCCTACGCTCTAGCATGACTCTATACCGGTCGTCGTAAAAGAACCTCACGGTAGAGATCGTGGATTTCTAGTTAGGCGAGTTAGACGAGAAACGCGAACAAGAAGAAAGAGTCAGCTCTCGTAGTTTCCCCGCTCGATCGAACGTATAATTCCATAACGATCGAGGGAGTGCCTTTTGTTCGAGGATCGAGAGATAAGTAGAATTTTATATTCGAATGAAGCGGTTAACACGCTTCTCTAGGCGAGATTAATAATTATCTTTCTTCCTTTCGATCGATGCTTGAAACGCATAATCCTAGCGCACAATCGTCCTATTTAACAGGTATGCTTCGCGGAAATCGTTTAAGCGGACCAGATACGAAACGCAAGGCTTTATTTGAATTGTAAATGTTCATAACTGGATAATTGGTGTGATCGTTACATCTCGTTGATCCTACGGATTTATTCACATTATAGTTCGTTTTCATTGGATCGTTGGCAGCAGAGAATTCTCGTATTTATCAAGGGAAAGCGTGTACGATGACGAGATCGAAGGATAAATCTAAACCAGAAAAAGGACGAGAATTTTAGAATGTTAATTTTAATGAAACTTAATTGAAGTGATGAGCAAAAAATCCACGAACTCGAGCTTGTTTACGGTTTGCAACCGTTGATGGTCTCTATGAATAGACGAGGGACTCAAACGCAATTCTTTTTTCAATTCAAGATATCGGAATTGGTACAATCGCCGGAAAGAAACGAGGGTAGGAGGTCGAACGAGCGTTTCTCTTTCTATCTCTCTTTCCCTCCGCTATCTGGTGAAAAGTACGGAAAATTTATCGTACCGAGACAAAACAGGCATTATGATTAATTAATGGATCCCGATAACACAAAGCATCCTTTGTTTCCGGTGATCGATAGAAATCGAAGATCACTCGGGATGATTCTATCAGTGTGTTTCTTGTAAACTCGTGCGTTCGGTGCTTCACGTTTTCTTTCACGCATCGCCGATCGATCCTTCAATTATATTACAATGAGAAAGATCTTCTTATCTCGCGTGCTGCACTCTCAAGTACGATAATTTATTATGTACGTAATGGAATATCGATTACTTTGTACTTTGTTTCGAGTAATTATTACGATATATGTACGTACAACTCGCACGCTCGAGTTTAAATTAAATTGAAAAAAAAAAAAAGAAAAAAAAACAAAACAAAAGAACAATAAAACAATTTTAAGCGATTCCGCGTCTGCGCTCTCAAGGAAGACAAACACGCTATGTTTTATTTATAAATGCTTTGGAAATTAAGACAATCGGTCAACGACTACGAATTATCTTAATTCTTTTTTTCTTCCTTTTTTGTTTTTTTTCTCTCCTGTATTTATAACATTTCCATGTTGTGTTCCCATTAATGAGCGAGAACTGTAGATTTACAAATCCTTCGAGAATGAATTTAATAAGTTGCAATAAATGTCTCATCTCGAAGAATGTGGTTATAAAGCATATAGTCATAAAGCTACGGATCAAAATATAAAATAGAAATGGCTATTGAAAAGCAGAAATATATGTTGTTGTTGGTAATTTATTTGAAAGAAAAATAATCGTTCGTACACGAGCGATTCGGTTCGTAAAACATAAAAGATTGTTACGACGTCGCGACGATGCAAAAGCATCCCCAGGGCTATTTCTTTTCGACATAGGCGGTCAAAGAAAACAATAAGAAAATGCAGACGAGTCCTCTCTGTCAGCGTTAACCCCTTCCCTACATTTCTGCGATCGGTTTGCACGCGTCTGTCCACCAACAGGCATGCTCTCCTTGTTTTACCCCCTCTCTCGCGGCTCTCTCGGGGCCCGTAAAATCTGGAACAAGAACCGCGTGGCGAGACGAACCGGTACCAGTGACACCGAGAGACTCGGTAGCAACGGAGCTCTTCTAAAGTGACGACTTTCTCGGTCTCACATTGGTCCACGTCTTTAATCTTTTACACGAATAAGAAAGTACACGAAGACAAAGAGGAAGAAAATTTAAGAATACCGAAGTCAAATTCGTCTTTCCTTCAATTCTCTTACGAGTACGGAAAGAGTATCTGGAAAAGCAAAAGGAAAAACTCTATAAGTAACAGTGATAGCATCCTTTTATCTATTTATAAAAAATTTCTTCGACCTATCGTCGTTTTTCTTGATTTTCGTTGAATTTATCAAAATAAAAATAAAAGAGAAAAGACAGGATGACGTCGAAAAGATATTGTTCGACAACGGGAATCAAAGGATTTGGCACGGCAACTCGGATCGTCGTGACGATCTTTCTCCTTTTGAATATTCTCGGGACGATGGATTGCGCGCCTTACAGAAGATCTCATTTGAGAACACTGAGGTTGTGCTCGAAAAGACTCAGCGACGCGTTGTACTTGGTGTGCAGCGAGCGAGGATACAACGAACCCTTCTCCTATAGCGGCGAAGATGAGCCACGCGGTCCTACTGGCCCTGGACTCGTCGAAGAATGTTGTTATCATTCCTGCAGCTACGTACAGCTCGAGCAGTACTGCAAGCCAACGTCCGAGGAGAAGCGGGGAGGTACCCGCGACGTCATGTGAGTGGATGTTAGTTTCTCTTCTGGTTTTTATTTCATCTCTCTCTCTCTCTCTCTCTCTCTCTCTCTCTCCCCCCCCTCTCTGCCTCTTTCCTTTTCTCATCCTTGCTCTGATCCTTGCTCGCTGCACCAGGCTTCGTCATTTTCATTCCTTCTAGCGCAAAGGGACTTCTTTTTTCTTTCAAAAAGATTTTCATTAATTCGTTTAAAGCTATCTCTTCAGTTTAAAGATATCATTTCTTTTTTGATAAAGAACCACGCCGATTCGTTTTATTTTTAACGAGAGAAAGATATATATTATGATTTTACGCATATATTTTCAGTCGGTTTCGAGTTCCTTGACATTATTCGCTCGAGATTTCACAGAGCAATCGTAATCATCACGCTTATCCTCTTATTATGTGACTTATTTTCTAGCATATTAACTACCACGATATCTTTCCACGATAATAGGTGCTTCGCCCTACACCATCGGTGCAAAGACTCTTACCATTTCTATTGACAACGATTGACTATAAGGAGGAATCAAAAGGTCAACCTAGTAATTGCAATAACCTTTGACTCTCTCGATCAGCCTTCACACGCGAACGTCGTGATCATTCTCCTTGTTTCTCGACGATTAATCTTATAATCTGATCCCTTCCAGTCGTGCCCGATCGATCGTAAAATACCGTTAGTTATTCTATTCGTACGTTTCTTCGTCAAAAATCAAAACACATCGATAACCTGATTGTTATCATCGTTTCGTCGTATCGAAAATACCAACTTTCTTTCTCTAATCTTCTTTATTCTTTTGGACTTTACATTCGAGCAAGATAATAGATGGTTTACATCGAGCATTGTTAATTGTACACAAATCGCCGGGAGTAAGAAACCGGAACAGCGTGTGAGCGAGTGAGCGAGCGAGCGAACGAGAGAGCATAGTTACCAACTTTCTTATCATCGCCACAAAGATAATCCATGTTACTTTTATTAAAGTTCATGGTTATACGAACTGGCCTTTAGTAGCAAGATTAGTCCGAAGTGCTAGGACAATTCGCTATCTCCGCTTTTTCGTTTCATTTTTTTCGCTTTCTCCCCCTTCCCTTCCCTTCCCATCGCTTCTTTACTCTTCTTTTCTTTTCTCGGTTGATTTAACGCGATGTGATTTATACACTCTCGTGAGACTTGTTTTTCCGAAGATCTTAATCGATCTTTCTTCTTACATAAGCAGTGTTTAGGTTACGATCGTGACACGCGCGAGTCCTTTGTTTGTTTCGACTATTTTAACGAAAAGAACGCGTTGATAATGATCGAACGAACTGTTACTTATCCTTATGTTTTTTTCGTTTTACAGAGAGGAGTCCATCAGAATAGTGAACCTACCCGACTCTTTTGCGAAAATACAATCGCCGTCGAAAGAAGAGAAACCGTTATCGTCAAGTAATCACCGTACAAGAAAAGGCAAGGATTGTCGGACGAAGAACGGTCGAAAGCACGGACATGGCGAATGCTATTAAGAGGAAAGAGATTTTTCTTCATAACCATAACAAAGGAGAGAAATAGCGAATCGTAATATCCGCGAGCGTATTCGAATGAAAGCGCCGCCGAAAACGTCGCCAATCTCGACTGCCTCGTTAAGAAAGTTCGCAGAAACTCATTTTCTACGTCTTCGGCTTCGTGATCTTTCACAAGATGGGGATTGGAGATAGAATGGACTCGAATCTCTTTTTCTACAAGACAAAAATAAACTACACCAACCATCAAAAGGATCAAGGACGATCGTAGATGCTCTGAACTTTTTCGTATATATTTTAAGTAGATATATTTTTAAATAATCGAAGGACGATAATAGCTCGACTTGCACGCTGAGTGTTTGTGCGTGAGAGAGGGAGAGAGAGAGAGAGAGGGAGAGAGAGAGAGAAAGAGAGAGAGAGAGAGAGAGAGAAATAAGCCACGTTATTTCGATACGTTAAGGAATCTAGTCCCACAAAAGGGTGCTGGTTGGTCGTTGTTTTATAATCGACGTTATCAACTTTGTCGTCCATTTGTGATTTTCTTCGTAATTTACGGGAAGAGGATGATTCGACGAATCTTTTTTTTTTTTTTTTTTTTTTTTTTCTTTCATGATAAGACTTATAAAGTCGAAAGAAAAATGGCGAGGTTAGGGAATGAGTTTGAAATGCAAAAAATTGGAAGACATGAAATTTGTGGATCGCCAGCAATGAGGGAAGAAGAATCAAGAGCTTTGTCTCTCGAGTACGACTTCCTTATTAAAGACAGTAATGATTAACGTAACGTGAGAAAATTTGTGATTCATTCAATCCATTAATATATTTCTATTATTTTTCTTTTTTTTTCTTTCGTTCTAAAGATTGAATTTGAGATTAATCACGTGATCTCACAAAGGAAGACTTAATAAAGATTTTATTAACGTAAAATATTTTTATAGGCATGTCAAGTGCAACAAAGCAAAAGCTTCGCTTTCGAGTTGCCGGTGACATTAATTCTCTTACCGACTGATGATCTCACTAGTATTAAATATCAATTATTGTTTAGCACTAAATAATCATATTATTAACCTTAACGATTAAGTAAAATACGCACCTCGGACTATTGGACGTGGTTAGAAGCAAATCGTTTGTACGATTCATCTGCGCGCGAGAATGATCAAAATGAAATAACTTTCGATCGGGAATCAATTGAAAAATGCTTCTGACTATCTGTTAGGGATCAATATTAATTCATTGACTTAGTCCTTTATTTATTGGAATTTCGCTGGCAATTGGGTCGTATGATTAACGATTAATAAATATTTATATATAGATCCGTTCATTGTTTTCTATTTAGCGTTACCTTTGTCTTCCCCTTTCCACTGTCATTCCTTCACAAAGCATCTTAACGCATCGCTGACCATACACAGAGAGATCTCCCTTTTCGCAATCGTTGCATTCTTTGGCATTTATCATCTTTAGAGATAGAAACTCGAAACCTAAGATAACATTGACATCGATATATCGTCGACTTTTTCTATATCGTATATCGGATTATTTCAGCGTTATCACATTTCTATCATAATTAAAGAAGGAATAATCTATAATACTCACGTTTGCGCGACCATCTTGTATGTGTATAATTAGAAAATATAATATACGATAGCGCTTCAGACGTCTCGTTTTAAATTGAAATGGCACTTAAAGCGCCGTAAGATCCAAATATATTCCTCCAAAAATTGAACTTCTCGGTAAAATATTTCTTAGAAACTATTTAACAAGCGATATGTCACTTTTACATACTTGCACTTCGTACTTTTATTGGTGGGTACGCGTTTTACGGTTCTGCAAGATGATTAACTATTAGCATTCGTTCTTCCGCTGTTGGAAATATATCTTTGTCGCAGTGACTGTCTTGAAATATTCGAAAGTATTCGCAAATCTACCATATCTTACTATAACATTACATATAAATGTTATATTAAGATCACAGGGATATACAAAGGTATCGATAGTTTGAAAATGAAATAATATTTTATTTCTCTGACAAGAGAAAAGCCTCGGAAAATATTTGTTCGTTCTTTTCAAAAACACAGGACGTCAATATTCTCGGTATCGCAAATATTATCCTCGTAACAACAAGTCTTAACAAAGTCTCTTAGTTTTTTTTTTTCGTTCGGCTTGCGTAAAAGATCTTGGAAATCGATCGTTAAAATCATTATAAAGCTCGTACAGTTCTTCGACTGGCCATTTGAAATGGTACATCATCGTTTTCCCTTTACCAAGTAAGAAATAGGACGATCTCGACTTTGTTATTTTTCTTTTCTTAACGTACGTAAGCACATGCATTGGAAATCACGTCGGATGCAAAATTCTTTTTTTTTCTTCGTATAATATTTTTAGACACATTTAATAGACCTTAGAATATCATAATTTTTCACAAAAGTTAATTACATGGATGGATTAATGAGATGTAAAATTATTCATTTCAGAAAGTTGTATACGTCTTTGAAGCAGGATTGTCCGGATAAAGAAGCATTATCCGAAGAACATCCTCATACTTCGAACGAACTGACATGAGCAAACGATAACGTGCAATGCAATGTGAGAGTTTAGCCGGTGTCATTCATTCAGAATAACCTTGTAATCTTTACAATTATTTACTAGGAAGGATTGCGACTTTACGAATTCGACATTAAGCTCGAGACTTTTCGTTGTTTGTATAAATTATTATTATTTAGCGCTAAACAATCGCGTTATTAGCCTTAACGATTAAGTAAAATACGCACCTCGGTCTATATTATTAGATATCATTAGTCTAACGTATGAATTGAATAATAGACTCCTTGAAAATTACCTTTCATCTTACGAGTATTTACCGCAACATTCTGAGACAGTACGGAAGCAGATGGAAGAGATGTCGATCGATAACACCGTTTTTGTTTGTGTAAATCTTCTCGGATAGAATCAGAATTAACATCCACGATATCCTCTCCCCTTTGGATTTGCTATTTTCTCAGAGATATCTCTTTTCTCGTGTTTATCGAAGGATGTAGATTTGTTCTCTCGTTCTAGGGAAAAATCTGAAAGAAGAAAAGGAAAGTAGAAAGTTTGACCGATCGATTGATCAGAAAGTAAGATCTTATTTTACTTGCCAATAGATTCGGTTAGCTCGAATTTCTTATAATCCGTCTTTTTTAAATCAAATTTTTCGATGCCTCTTTTGAGGCGATCGTTGTCACAACAGATCTTCGTGAAGATATCCATCAGTCGATCTTTGCAATCTTCTCTAAAAGCCGCGTTTAACGTTATCGGCAGCATAATCGAGAGGGTCGTTACGATTAATAAGGTGTCCTGTCTTTCGCTACCTTTCCTCCTCATATTTGCGTTTGTCGCAGAACGATGTTACTTGGACGACTTGACCATTTGTTCAGCGTTCCTTTCACTTTAAATCGAGCCCTTATCTGAGCGTACGTGTTTAAAATACGCTCGCACAATCTTGCACGATGAAGGTTTATTTATCTGTCGCACGTACTTTACCTGCTCGTCTTACGATTAATTCGATCATCGTCATGTCTTGAGAATGTAGCAAAGCGACAAACTCGATTATGCTCGACAAACTCGCGAATACCAGGAGAAAGTGATCGAAACGTTTATAGATCTTCCTTATGTCGACTTGATATTTATAACGTCATTTTCATTATTGTTCCGTTAAATAAGTGTTACGGTCAAATTCCTCGAGGGAGGATCCGATAAAAGATAAATGAAATATTCGCATACTTTAACGGATTAGCTGATTTTTGTCATTGAATTGGTGTCTATTGGGGAGGACAACCGCAATGACGTAAAACTAATCCAAGCTATTAATAGATATATAATAATGAATAAACGCGTTGACGAAGAACGTAATAGATATGTCTATCTCTTTGACGGCAAGTGCATTTTTCAAAGGCAAAGTCGAAACTATCGATTCATCCTATAAAATAACTTCGTCGAAATTTCCTTCGAAACATATTTCATTTGTAATAATCATAAAAAATTTATTTTTATTTTCATAGGAATCGTTAAGTAGCGCCGTCGCTGATGAAAATTTGAATAGCACGTTTCAGCGAATCACCGGTAGATGACACTGTTAGGCGATACTGCACCGAATGACAGAGATTGCTAAGGTTAAGGGCATGCGGAATAGTCGAATTGGCGGGCACGATCAGTAATTACTTATAATATTAATATTTTCATTATGTTTCGGCCGACTAGAAGTTTAATGATAACGTTACGGCAAGTTAAAGATTGTCGCTCTTTAAGTAGGTTTAGTCAACAATTTTCAGAAATCACCGAATACGAATGTATGTTTTATTTGTTATTACATATCCTATCTGTCGTTACTTGTCAAAGTACGATTAACATTTTATTATAGCGGTTTTATAATTATCCATAGCTCCTATCACCGATGAATATAAGAGAGGACCCTTGGAAGGTAGATCGCTTTATTTAGATGCTCAAGCTACAACACCTATGGTATGGATTAATATTGCACAATCTTATGCTTTAACAGTGCAATGTCTTTAATCAATAAGTATAACGTAATAGGTTATAAAATAATAGTACGATTAATGTTTAGGACCCACGGGTATTGGATAAGATGATGTTATATTTTACTTCTTATTATGGAAATCCACATTCTAGAACCCATATGTATGGATGGGAAACAGAAGCTGCAATAGAACATGCTCGTAAAGTTGGTACAATAGTATATGCATTAATATGGGAATAAAGTTTTCCTTTGAATATTTTTAATGATTCTTTCCATAGCAAGTGGCAGATCTGATAGGTGCCGATAAAAAAGAGATTGTTTTTACGTCTGGTGCAACAGAATGCAATAACATTGCTGTGAAGGGCGTAGCAAGGTTTTATAAATCAAGAAAAAATCATGTTATAACAACACAAACTGTAAGTATTTACAATATTAGTTAAAGATGAAGTCATTCTATTGAAATCGTTATATATACATTTAGGAGCACAAATGTGTATTAGATTCATGCAGAGCCTTGGAGGCAGAAGGATTTGACGTGACATATCTACCAGTTAAATCAAATGGACTTATCGATATCGATCAATTAGAAGCCGCTATTACGCCAGCTACATCGCTCGTTTCTGTAATGACAGTTAATAATGAAATTGGTGTTAGACAACCTATCGAACAGATTGGTGCTATTTGCAGGTACACGTATAATTGTATGCTGAGAAATAAAATATTCTTATTTTATATACGTATATATATATATATATATATATATTAGATTAATCATCGTTTTTTCTACAGAAAGAGAAAGGTTTTTTTTCATACCGATGCAGCTCAAGCCGTTGGCAAGATACCGCTTGATGTTAATGCGATGAACATTGATCTCATGTCTATTAGTGGTCATAAAATATATGGACCCAAAGGTATTATATATATATATATATATATATATATATATATATATATATATCTCGCGCTATGAACTCTTGCAAGTTTTTAAATTATGTCCTATTTATGGTATAATCGTTTGCATAGGTATTGGAGCACTCTATGTAAGACGAAGGCCACGTGTTCGCATTGAAGCGTTACAAAGCGGAGGTGGACAGGAACGAGGTATGAGAAGCGGAACTGTTCCAGCACCTTTGGCTGTTGGGCTTGGTGCTGCTTGTGACTTGGCACGATCAGAAATGGAGGTATGCTTCATCATTTTATAGTTCTTCATATAGAACTTTCTATTACTTATATTAATTACTCGTTTTCAGTATGATCATAAATATATTACGAATCTTTCAAATATCTTGATTGAAAAAATTATGTCTAATTTACCGCAAGTTGTACGCAATGGGGACTCAATTGCTTGGTATCCTGGATGCGTTAATTTGTCATTTGCATGTGTAGAAGGAGAATCATTATTAATGGCACTGAAAGAAATAGCCTTAAGTAGTGGTTCTGCATGCACAAGTGCAAGTTTAGAACCTAGTTACGTGTTAAGAGCAATTGGAGCATCGGAAGATCTAGCGCACTCTAGTATCAGGCAAGTATAAAACGATAATAATATATAAAACAATATACGAGCATATATATGTATGCATTATACGTATCTATGTATACACATATAATGTGCTTTTGTAATTCAATTTGGGCAGATTCGGTATTGGCCGGTTTACTACGCTGGAGGAAATTGAATATACTGCAAAACATACGATTGAAGAAGTTAAGAAGCTTCGCGATATGAGGTAAAACTTCGTTGATCATAGTATAAATTTTTATTTAATGTAGAAGCATGATTAATATACAATTCATTTTCAATTTGCGATGCGTGAACATAATTATCGTTACTATCTGGATGGATTCATTGTCGAACGTGTTTTTAACAATAGAATTATGTTGAATTCGATAAAAAAAAATCTGATAAAATATCGAGATTACGTTAATCACAAAATTTGTTTCTTTACAGTCCCCTGTGGGAAATGGTCGAAGATGGAATCGATTTAAAAACTATCAAATGGACTCAGCATTAGTTTTTTCTTCTTCGTCAGCGTGTGAGTTAGAAGGCTCATATATCGAGATAAGCAGAGAGAATTAAGCGTAGAGAGTAAGTTCGTAAGAGTTAAAGCTCGGTTAATTAAAATTATTCTCGAAGTATAATAAAATTAAAATTTAAAAATCGTTACTGCTAAGGACCTTAATTTTATTCCTAGATATTTATGTATATAAAATTTTTACGTCAGTGTTTCCAAATACTTGCTCTGTATTTGGAAAAGTGCATCTGTCGTATACACGCGTGACGTGAAATATAATTCAATTCCTTTGTTTCTAAAAAAAATTGTAAAAGTTCGTTGTTGTTGTTGTTTTTTTTTTCTTTTTTTTTTTTTTTTTTTTTTTTTTTTTTTAACATAAACAGGATGGATCGGTAGCTTCGTCGATATAGGAAATTTTAAAACGATCCTTGTCCATTTCGTGAAGTTCCATACGAGATCGATTAGCTTCAACTAGATGCTGCGCAATGTCCTCGAACATTTCATGTATTCCTTCTCCGGTTTTACAAGACGTTTTGTAAGTTCCAGAGATTAAGTTATGACATTGCTCGCTAAAGTGATCATATATGTTATATTATAGAAATTAAGAGAAATATATATATATATGTATATATTTTTTTTTTTTTTTTTCTCAAGAAACCTACCAAAATTGTTCCATTTCTGCATCCGTAACTTGCGGAGTGACCCCTTCCAAGTCACTTTTATTACCGCAAAGAAAAATCTTTGCGTTTTCCGCATACGTAACTATATCCAATAGATGCTGAGATAAAAGATGAAAAGACGTTGAGTTATCTAGAGCAAATACCAGAATAGCTGCTTCGGCAAACTTGTAGTAACTCGATGTTACGGATGCTACTCTCTCCATACCTCCGGTATCCCATAATTGTAACTGTAAAGGAAAGAAAAAAAGCAAGGAAACTTTTGCGTCAACTATATTTTAATAAATTCTAATTCATACGTTTCCATGTGCTATCCTAACTATGGAAGAAATAAAAAAAAAGGTTAACTTTTTAAGAAAATTTCTGATCTATATTTCAGAGAGCGCAGAAAACAGAGACAGAGCGTAAAAAATGTACGGAAACGTTCCTACGATTAATCTCCACCTACGGGCTACCTACGCATCAGGTGCATATATATGCAAACTGTCTAAATCATCTATTCCATTCAATTGTAGACCGAGGATGGTGAAATATAGATTGAGCTTTAATGCGTCGTTAATGTCACTTAAAAATTAAAGTACTTGAATTACTCGTTGCATTATACATAAAAATTCGATTGGAAAATATTCAGATATTGTATGAATTAACAATTAAAATCGCATGGTAAAGGATAAGAGAGAGAGAGAGAGAGAGAGAGAGAGAGAACAAATTTGGTCATACTTACACGTATTCGTCTGTCGTCGACTATATATTCTTTGTCGATATTATCGAGACCAAGCGTCGATTTTCGATCGTTACTTGCGACGAAGGAATTGTTTGCAAATCGCCTGAATATAGACGTTTTCCCAACACCATATTCACCACAAAGAATAACTTTCTGCTCCGTTACTTTGACGGTAGCCATGTCCCATGTAAAATCGCCTTAACACCAACCGAAAACATCAGCAGTCAGGTATCATATTATGATGTAAAATGTACCTTTGTAAAATGGGTACGGCAACGCGAATTATTTCTTTTTTTTTCTTTTTTATATTGAAACGTTCCTCCGACCGTACGCACTTGAGGATCTCCTAATGCACGGAAGAAGAAGTAATCCTACGTTAACGCGATAGAATAAAAATAGTAGACGATGGACCATGAACTATCGCTATCGCAGACAAACGATTCGATTGCGATAATAATAATTAGGATAAAATTTTCTTTCGTATAATTTATGGAAATGATATTCCATTCGAGATTTACATATGTGATCGTTATGCAGATACAGCGTCATTGTTTACAAGCAGTCGATCGTTGGTTGTGAGATTAGTCGATTAATTTAAATTTTTACCGGCGGGACAAGTCACGGTATACAAAGTCATGGTATACAAGGTATACACCTCAGCGCACACCTCAGTTAGTCTAAATTACTTATTTCTTAAGAATAAGAAATATTACAATATGCTCTCTAGTATAAAAAGTGAAAAAGAAAATATTATTTTAAAGAGCAGTGAGATTTATCTTGTTCTTGGTCTATCTCAAAATGGGAGATGACGCAACCATTAGCAAATCGAATAACCAGTTTTAAATAGTAGTTTATTTCTTATTGATTTCGGAATGACACAATGTTTCGCAAGATGGATTTAATTATATTATAAGAATAATTATTGTCTCCTCGTTCTTAAATAAATATATATTGTCAATTGTAATCGTCGATACGTAGGCCGATATCTCGATATCGAGCCTTTTATCCTAGACGTTGGCTATCGATGGGGAATCGATATGCGATTTAATCGAATTCGCGAGTTGAAGCGTCGTACGGTGTCGCCCTCTAGAATGCTTATGTATTTCTTTGTGATCCGTGTCAGTCTTTGGCAGCTTCAGCTGTTCAAAGAATTTTCTTTGACGTTACTTGATTTCGATGTTTCATAGATTCCTTCATATTTTATTCGATGAGTCATTTTTTTCTCTAAGGAAATAACGAAGCTCTTCATCATGGTGCTAAACGAAGTTGGCAAATTCCTTCTCGAATTGGAGAAAGCCGAATTAGAGGTTAGCGCAATTGTGTGTCCAATTTATTAATAGGTATATTGTTTCTAATTTATCAAACGCCATTGTTCTTAGACGTAGAAAATTGTACATAATGATACGTTTAAATGTTCTATAATTCTATCAATTATTGAAACTTCTTCTATGGTCAGATCTTTCTTGTGTCACATCTTTCTCTTCGATTACCGAATGTAAAATATTTTTAAATATATTTACAAAATTGTATCGCTCAAGCCTTTTAACCTTTATTCATGCGATATTATTTTCAGGCACCTGCTGGAGTTGCGTCGGCACAAACTTATGCTCAACTATTGGCTATGTATCTTTACCAGAATGATTTGTAAGTCTATCAAATTACTTATCAAACTATTGTCGAACCTTATGCGTGCCAGTGTCACAAAGAATGAGAAAGATCCACACGATTTACATCTATCTATGGATCTTTTACTTTTATTCGACTTGGATAACTTTTTTCAATAATTGTATCATTAGAAAAGTGACCGAATTAACGTTTAATTACTCGTCGTATCTAGTATTTCTCTTCTTTTTTTTTTTTCTTTTTTCTAGTTTTTTCTTTTTTCTTTCTTTCCCCTCCTCCCACCTCTAAATCGCACTTGTCCGTCGATAGGCGTAAGAATTGTACCTATTATTTATTAATTTTGATAGCGTCGAGATAACACGTAATACCAAACGTGGAATATCGTCTAGCAATTAAACTTTAATTCTATCGCAATCTACGATACAATTCTGAACTAATTTAGGATCTATAGGGAGATATAGTTTGATCGGAAAATATATTTCGAAAATGCAGAAAACGCCTTTGATCGGCATACGTTTAACTAAGAGCGGTATCTCTTGTTTTCACTTTAATTGCATTCTCCGTGCTTATATCGGCAATTATCGCATTCACGTAGTCGCGCTCGGTAGCCGGAGAATGCTATTAGTCTTGGCTAATTTGATCGGACGATTTTATGGTCAAAGCACTGTTCTCCGATTTTATCTTACATTAACTTTCAATTCAATTTGGCATGATCGTTAAGAAAACCGGAGCGGGGTCTAGTTTTTACCTTTTAATAAGATAAATGCATACGCTTATCGTGATTTCTTTAGTGCGATCGATAACATTTCGATATTCCACGTTGACTTTACTTATTGTATATCAATGCTTTTGCAAGAAATATATGCTTTTGAACAAATATATAATTATGCAAGATCAATGCACGTGACAAGTTTTTAAAACAGTTAAATACAATAAGGGAAGAAAACAAAATTAACTCATCGTAGATGCAACGCAAAGTGCTTGTGGAAACGAATACCGTCGAATCTGAAGGATGCTAATTCGGAATTGGGCCGAATATGGGCGGTAGGGAAACACATGTGGCAACGGGACTGGCCCGCGGTGCACGTAGCTCTCAACGCGGATTGGAGCGAGGACGTTTCCGGGATCATGACTGCTCTGAAAGGTATCGTTAGCTATCGGAGGTATCGACGCGCACCCTACCTTCCACGATCTCGATAACTTTCATTATTGTCTTGGAAACCTTTTAGCGAGAATCGCGCTCATTACGAAAGCAAATATTCACCGGGCAATGTATCCATATGTCTGTATATATATATATATATATATATATGTGTATATATATATATACACATATACGCACATATATATATATATGTACACACATATACATATATGTGTATATGTCCACATTTATTTGTTTCGATTCTGGCGCGAAAACTCGCCATAAATCCGAACCGATTAATTTTTCCAAAGATAAGGATAAAGGATTTGAATGCCATCGTGGACGATCCTTTCAGATAGCGTTCGCGAGCAAGCGATGACGCTGATATCCAAGGCTTACTCGTCGTTAGGTTTGACGGTGCTCGCAGCGATGACGGGTCTTGCATTGGAAGAGGCTCAACAGGCGGCGATGGAAAGGGGCTGGAGCATAGACGGGTCGATGGTCCAACCGGTTAAAATCGACAAGGAACAATGCATCTTTACCAACGAGATCTGCCTGACGGAGGATCAACTGAAAAAGCTCACGCAATTTGTCTCCTTCTTGGAGAATTAACCAAGTGCCGAACTAACGTGAAAGAGAGAGAATCGATCCTTTCGGTACTTTAAAGCCTTTAGCTTTTACAGCGTAATCGTATTACATAAACGAGGAAGTGCGCGTCAAAGGAACACAACGCGTCAAAATATCTCCGTACCTTCATCCTTTAGAAATATTATGTCACCGTATCTACCCACGCTGTCGATGTTCGTTCGATCGGAAGAACGTGCACGGTGTCGAACGTGCGAAGAAGCTCTTTGAGTTCGATCACGATCGATCGACCATCGTCCACGATAGTGACACTTTTTTTGTGCGAAATCGACTCTCGAGTGTTTTTTCTTTCCTTTTATTTTCTTTTTCTTTCTTGTTTTTCCTTTTTTCCCTTTATTCTTTTCTCCTCCTTTCCCGTCGAAAGAAAGAGCAATAAAAGTATCGCGAAACGTAAATATACCCAATTCCTCTCTATGCTTTTTTCTTTTCTTTCTTTATTTCTTCTCTTCTCTCTTTGTGGTTAATCACATAGGACTCTACTTTCTGGAAGAGAAACCGTTTTGCAAGAGCACGCTTCCAAATTTCTCGCTACCTATAGATCGTAGACAGATTGGGTGAACTTGCGTAACGTATATCTACGGAGTTCCAAAGTAATGGGTGGCGGACCGTGCGGTGATTTCTTCGATCTCGCGCGTGAAAGCAATGATCGAGCGAGCGATCGCGGGTGCAGCAAATTTCGCACTTAAGGAGATTCAGCCGGAGGCATTGCGTCACACTCAAATCGAATCTTCGGTTGTTTTTAAAAAATCGCGGACGGTTAGGTATGTTCTCTTTCTACCTAGAGAGAAGCTATATACCCACCGACGCCAAGTAATTCTCTATGAAATCAATTCCAGGCCGCTCGACATTGTAACGTGCGCGGCTTTGCGTTGGGATCGAGATATATCTAGTAGCGTTACACGATTGTAGGCTTTTTCTCTAGACGAAATCGTTCTTTTATCAATACCCCTAGGAAGTTTCTTACGATATTCATTCAGCGGTACAACGATGTCGGTCTTGCGTATTTGGATCTTTTTTCTTTCATTTTTTTTTTCTTTTCTTTTTTTTTTTTTTGTTTCTCTAGACGTTCGAAGGAATTGGCAAAGTTTGCGAATATTTTCCTTTTCGTACGACTATGTCCATCCGTTCGCGTCCATGGTCCACGATACGTGGGAATGAACGAAGAAAAGCGCCGAGTCGTATCTAGAAGGCGTTCCCACGCGCTCCGTAGGACGTGTTCTATAGAAAAGAGTGCCTATCCTAGGTGCCCCGTACATATCGAGAACGTGCGATCGGCGCAATAATTGGTATCGAAAAAGACGTTCGATCTCAGCGGGGGAGGATTTCAAAGTGGATAGTAGTAGAGAAACGATGCCACGTTAAGAAAAGACGCCAAGTTCCTCTGCGTATCTACTCGTATCGCGGCGTCCCTTGCGCCTCGACGTACCACGTGCCGTTCTTCGAATAATGCAGATTCATCGTCGTTTCAACGAGCGAGATGATTGCATCGAGATATCGCGCAGCTGTTTCTTTCTCTTTCTTTTCCTTTTTCTTTTTTTCATGGAGCTATCGCGCCTCGGCAGGCAGGCGGCGCGATCGAGCCTCGTGGAGAGGGTTAACCACGCGCGAGGCGAAAGAGAGAGAGAGAGAGAGAGAGAGAGAGAGAGAGAGAGAGAGAGAGAGAGAGAGAGAGAGAGAGAGAGAAGAGGAATCACGAGTCGTTCAGGATGTTGCGAATGGCCGAGTCGATTGTTACCTCTCTTTTATTTTGCCCAAGTACTTTGGCTCCGTGGTGTACAGGTGTAATCTGATCTTCTCTTTTCGAGAGTATCGTCGTCTCTGCCATTCAGAGATGATCAAACTCAAGAGTCGTTTTTCTCCATTTATCACAAAGTTTGGAAAAAATTGTAAAAAGTTAAGATTAACTCGTAGAGAATATTATACGAAGAACGAGTAAAATTCTTCGTTATTATTAAAGAAAAACCGGTTTCTTTCTCTAGCGAAGTGAAAGCGAAGAGTGTCATTTTCCTCTTTGATTTTCGCACGCTCGACGATCATCTTCGCGCGACGTTGACGTTGCAAGACGTTCCTTAAAATGATAGATTTTTTTTTCTTCGTAAATCATTTCCAAGGGTAGAAATTTGTAGGATATAAAGGTGAATTGTAGAATCCAATAGAAGTTTAGCTAGAATAGGAAGATAGCTCGGGACGGTAATAAACTCGCAAGTCTTAGAGAGACTCGCAAGAGAGGAGATTAATCGAAGCGCAAAGAGGGGCGCGAGGAGGTGCATATCTCGGCGAACGGGGCTCGGCGGTCGTTGCCGGTTACCTCTCGGTTGACCTCCCCTAGCGAGCGTGCGCGAATACACGTCCTATCCTAGGCTCATCGTATAGTAACTTTGCCGTCTCTTCTTTTCCCGACTTAGCAGAGAACGAACGTACATAAGTACTCGCATCTCTCTTTTCTGAACGTGTACATGTGACGCGCGGCGGCCCGTTCCCGGTATGACCTTTGCACGGTGCCGCGGAAAACGCCGATGCTCCGAGCGAGCGAACGGCACGAATCGAACGAGCGACCGCTCGATTTCGAAAGTCCGCCTTCTTCGCGAGCTGCGGAAGGCTTGGGACGTTGGACCGAGAGAGAAAAGGAGGAGGAGGGGGAGGAGGAGGAGGGTGATGATAATGACGACGAGTACGACGGCTCGGGGTGAATGCGTTTTTCTCCCATAAATGGTACCGCCATTGCTCGATCGGTAGTACCGACACCGATACTACCACCACCTCTTCTTCTTTTTATTTTTCATCCTCCTTTTTCTTCTTCTCTATCTAATAGCCGGCTAATGAGCTCTAAACAGCTCGCATACGAGCGAATATTCTTTCGTTCGTTCGTTCGTTCGTTCGTTCGTTCGTTCGTTCGTTCGTTCGTTCGTTCGTTCGTTCGTCGCCGTTGCGGTCGAACGACTTGCGAAAGATCATCGTCTCGACAGAATCCTGACGTTAAGGATATTTTCTGCCGCGTCAACGGATTTCGTCCGATGACTATGATAATTCGTTCTACATCGGTTCTGCATGGTGTAATAATGAAATCAGAATCTTTCCTAGGCCACTCCCCTTTATTATTACGTTTCATTGTAAAGCAAGGTGGAACGGTACTCGCGGTATGACAACAATGTCTCTACCGATATTCAATTACTCCGCTTGCGTAATCCGGCCGATTCACCTCTCTCGAGAGAGAGTTCGTAGAGTTCGAAGGATGATCCGGGTGATCGTCCTTTCTCGTTCGAATCCTCCTCCTCCTCCTCCTCCTCCTCCTCTACCTCCTCTACCTCCTTTTCGACCAAGTCACGTATCTCTCTCTCTCGCTCTCTCTCTCTCGCTCTCTCTCTCTCTCTCTCTCGCTCTCTCTCTCTCTCTCTTTTTCTCTCAGACACACATACTCTCAGTCATATCTTTGCGTGACCTTGAAGCGCGAATTGTCCATCGCCTCCCTTCTTTTTCTTCTTCTCCTCTTTCGAAGGAGTAGAAGGAGAATATCTCCATGATTCGATTCGCAAGGGTTTATACCGTTAGCGTCTTATTCGACGCGCTTCGAAGCACCGAGCGCGAAAGGAAAGAACGATTAGATGGATGGATAGATCGAGAAAGAGAGAAGGAGAAAGACAAAGAGAAATGGGAGTAAGAAAGAGAAGGAGAAGACACAATTGAATGTTGGCGGTCTCGTGGGCGGGACCGAGTTCGATTGTTTCTTTATCGCGATCACGCTCGTTCCTTCTTCTGCGAGCGCAATGGCAATCTCACCACCACCGACTATGCTTCTTCGTCTCTACAGCTTTCTATATCTGTATATATATTAAGTTTCCTTCTCGATCGTATGGAGATTTCTCTCTCTCTCTCTTTCTCTCTCTCTCTCTCTCTCTCTCTCTCTCTCTCTCTCTCTCTCTATCTATCTATCTTTCTTTCTTTCTTTCTTTCTTTCTTTCTTTCCTTCTTTCTCGTGCACTCGGTTAAGGCGGTGGGTGCGCTTAGAATGCACCTTCTCCGCAGCATTCCACGCGGAAAGAAAACTGATCGTTACCTTTAGCACAATTACAGTTCGCGGCTATTCGAACGTATCCGCAATCGAATCATCGATCGGTCTCACCCTCCACTTTTCCAACTTTCCTCAGATTCGAAGAGATTGCGAGTGTAGATCGTCCTGAAAGTTCGCCAGCTACGTTACGAACTCGGAAGCTTGGTATAATTAAAGGATAGAAAAGTCGATCGTCGAAACGGAATCGATGCGGGATCGATCTTTGTTTAGGTAGAAGAAGGCGTTGTCACGGACTTTCCTTGGGTGGCACGGCTTTCCTGAGAACGGCACGAAGAAGGATTCTCAAACGGAGTCTCTCTCCCGCTCTCTCCTCGTTCGTCGGCAGGCAGGCAAGCGAGTAGGCGGATAAGCTTTTCCGAGGGCCAGGTGATCGGTGGCCCCGATACGACGGCCCTCTCGACGGAGCCACTCGACTCGGAGGCACTTTGAGTTCTCGCCGGCCGCAGAACTTGTGGGATTTCGCAAGCGAACGCTTGCTTCTCGACTCAAGCGGTACTACTACTTCTCGGAGAGTAGCAAAGATAAAGAAGAGAAAAGAAATAGCTAAGAAGAGGTGCAGGTGAAGCGAATGCGAGGCTCCGACCTGACACGCGAGAGACTCGCGGAGAGAAACGAAGAGTGCACGAGGGCTCAACGGAGAGGGGGAGGAGGATGGAATAGAACGTTCAACGGGAGAACGGAATATGGGATCACCTAAGGTTAGGGTTCGCGATGCTGCGCCCACGTACCTATTGTCTCTCTACTTTCGTGCGCGCTGCGGGAAAAAGGACGCGACTTGCCTTCGGTGCGGCGCACCGCGTGTACACGCTCGACCTCGTCTCTTTCTCTCTCTCTCTCTCTCTCTCTCTCTTTCTCTCTCTCTCTCTCCCTTCCTCTCTCTCCCTCTTTCTTTCCGTGTAGCGCGCTTCACGGGATGCTCCGATACTCTATTTCCTTGAGCGAGAGAGAAAGGTGCGTTCCTAGCTTAGAGTCGGCGGCCCGTTGCGTCTATCCAAGAGAGAGATGGAGAGAGAGAGAGAGAGAGAAAGAGAGAGAGAGAGAGAGAGAGGTATCTGGCGGATCCTTGGGTTTTCTCACCTCGCTTTTGCCGCTTCTTCGTTACGGTGCGAAGAAACGCGGCGGAATCGCGCGGCCGATGCCGCTTAAATGCCACAGCTTGCAGGCATTTTTCGCGACACGCCGGGATAAATAATGGTGTCTTGCGCCAAACGATCGAGAAATTACGCGAACGGCGTAATTTTAGCGTTGTGTAAGATGTCCGATGAACATGCTCGCGCGTCAAGTTCTTTTTTCTTTTTTTATTGACTTTTACATATACAAGGAAAAAACACGGATACAACTTTAT